AAGGTCTAAATTCCCCACCCCAATCAGTTTGTAAGGCTTTAATGGGAAGTTGAAATTGAGTTGTTATCAAGGAATGAAACTGTTTGAAAATGGAAAGAGCATCAGATTTTTGTTTTAACAGATAAATCCAAGTGTATCTGGTGTGAGCATCTACAAAAGAAATATAGTAAGTGTATCCCAAGGTAGATTTAAAAGGAGCTGGTCCCCATAAGTCACTATAGACAAGAGCAAAAGGTGTGTCATACACAGTTTGTGATGAGGAGGAAGGAAGCCTATGTGCTTTTCCAATACAGCATGAAGAGCAAAAATCACTAACATTTTTATTAGAAATTGAAATATTACAAGAGTTAAGCACTTTTGTCAAGGTTACATGATTGGGGTGCCCCAAACGACAGTGCCATAGAGAGTATGTAGAATTTGAAGGTACACAAGTTTGACTAACAGTGTAAGGCTGATCAACAGCTCGATTTTCACTCTCAACAAAATTACAGTGAGGAATATTATCTGTATTAGCAATTGAAGGACTTGCTTGACTAACACTACAAGGCTGATCAACAGCTTTATTATCACTTTCAACAAAAGTACAGTGGTTAAAGCTTTCAGTTGAAGGACTGGAAGAAGACTTGAGAGAATGAGCTTGACTCAAAGCAAGGGAAATGTCTGAAAAACGATAAAGACCATCATTGCCAAGTATTCCACGAAGAAGAATGTCATGAGTGTCCTGCGATTTTACAAAGCAAACACTTGGATGAAACTCAAAAAAGACAGAGTTATCTTTAGCAAATTGACTAACACTCATAAGATTTTTCATGATAGAGGGAACAAGTAATAGATTTTTGAGATGTAAGCATCTGTGAGAATCATAAGGTGAAATAAATTTTGTGGAACCAACAGCTTGAATAGCCAAACCTTGCCCATTCCCAATGATGACCTGATCTGAACCACTCAATTGTTGGCTCTGTAGTAAGTTCAGAGGACTCGAAGTCACATGATGAGAGGCACCTGAATCTGGGAACCACTCAAGAGCTGGAGCAGAAGACGGAGTTGGAAGCAAACCAGGTTGTGCAGCAATCATAACCTGAGGAGAAGGCCTAACATACTGATACGACCTTTGTTGAGTCTGTAGAGGCTGTCTCTGAGCAAAGTATGGTCCATTTGATGGAGTTTCTGGAGAAGGAAGAGTGGGCACAAAGTCTTCATCAAAACGATGCCAGCAACTCTTCACGTCATGACCATTCTTGTGACACAACTGACAATACACGTTTTGTCTGCTTCCGCGCCCTCTACCTCTGTTAGCTCTGCTATTATAGCGTCCGCGTCCTCTATATGAAACATTAGAACGAAGAGAATCATCACCTTCCCTCTGTACAGAGGTCTGACCAGTGCTCTGTTCCTGAGTTGCAAAAACAAGGGCAAACAGAGGAGTAGAACCAGGCGTGTTACTCTGTTTTTGAGCAACATTCACAGTGACTGAAGCAAGAAGAGACTCATTCTGCGTTAACAGCATCTGTTCATGCGTCATTAACTCAATGGCTAGATCTTCAATCGAATAAGGATTTTCTCTTCCATGAACAGTAGTCACAAACGCGTTGTATTCAACTGGAAGTCCTTCCAGTATGTAATCAGTTCTATCTTCGTTTGTAACTGGATTTCCTATGGCTTTGAGAGAATCACAGAGGCTTTTGATGCGAGACAAGTACTCTTTGGCAGTTCTAGTTCCTTTCTTTATAGATCTGAGTTCTGAACGTAAATGACGAGATCTGGACTTCATGACTCCATGAAAAAGCTTGTGGATCTTATCCCAAGCTTCGTGAGCATACTGTACTCCTAGTATCTCGTTCAAAACAGATTCAGAGATAGTGGACAAGAGCCAAGATAAAAGCATAGAGTCTTGTGTGAGCCATTGAATATACGCTGGATTCTGAATCTCATTCAAACGATCTTCTTCAGACTCATATTGAATAGGAATTTTTGGATTCACAAGGTGACGATGAAGTTGATGCGATGTTATAATCGGTTCAACTATCTGATTCCAGAGTAGATAATTGTCATCTGTAAGCTTCACCGTAACTTGATGATTGAAGAGAAGAGGAGCACAATTTTCCATTGACGTTGCTTCTCTGTTCGACTTCAAGGATGCTGGAGCACTGTTACCAGCTGTAGCACTATCTTCAGAGTTGGATGCGGAAGACATAGTGAAGAACGATGATGGATCAGGCCCTCAAGATGAGAGCTCTGATACCATAATAGAATTCTTGAGAGACACCATTGATGAGAGAGAGAGAGAGAGTATTTGGATCTGAATCTTTATTATGAAGATCACACCTTACAAAATGCTACACTCTATTAATATATAGAGTGTGAGAATGCTGACTCAACAAGTGAGTCAGTTCTAACAAACAAACCGTATAACAGAAAGCTAAAACAGAAAGGGAGATGAGGATCAGATACATGCATGTGTACAATAGCAGAAAGTAAACCACTACTTATCTAATAATCTCCAAGAACTGAATTAAAATATTCAGTACCATTGTCTGTTCGCAGAATTTTGATAGAAGTCTGAAATTGAGTTTGAATCATAGCATGAAAGTTTTTAAAAGTGGATGCTGCCTCAGACTTATCTTTTAAGAGATATACCCAACATACCCTAGAATGATCATCAATGAAAGTAATAAACCAACGAGCACCCGAGACATTTTTTTCACGAGCAGGTCCCCAAATATCACTATGAATCAATGTAAAGGGAGAAGATTCATGATATTTCTTAGGAGAATAAGTGACACGAGATTGCTTTGCAAGCTGACAAATATCACAAAGAAGGGAACTTGACTTTTTATTGATAAATAAGTTCGGCAATAACTTCTGGAGATAAACAAAATTTGGGTGTCCCAACCTACGATGCCATAACAAAACATCATTACAGTCATCTGATAAACATAGAGAGTGGTTCGAAAAAATCCTCTTTTCACAATGAACATCTGTAAAATAGTATAGCCCTTCTTCCTCTCTAGCACTGCCAATTATCATCCCCGAGTCCTGTTCTTGAAAGATACAAGCATTTGCAGAGAACTTAGCAACACAATGCAACTCAGCAGTAAGTTTGCTAATAGAGATGAGATTACAAGTAAGAGAGGGAACATGAAGTACTGAGTTCAAAATAATATGCTCAGAAAGTTTAATGGATCCCTTTCCCGCAATAGTGGAGAAATTCCCATCAGCTGTTCTTATTCGTGACGGGTGATAGTAAGGGGTATAGGAGAAAAATAAGGATGCATTACCTGTCATGTGATCAGAGGCCCCTGAATCAAGGATCCAACGATTACTACGTTCAACATGGAATGCCATACCTTTTTGAGCAACATGACTAGTTGCCTCAGCAGGTTGAGACATCAATTTCTGAAAAGACGAATTTTCAAAATTTTCAACGTCCATGGTTTTCTAACAACAGGTACCCAGAAAAAAGTTCCTCCAAATACGATTTTGACCCTCAAAACAGGAAGAGGGTTGCTCGCAAAAATCAATGAATGAGAGCAATCTTGGCTACAGTGAAACAGTAATTGCTACAGTAATGAACAGTACTGCTACAGTAATGAACAGTACTGCTACGGGTCTTCTGTGGGCTGGCTCAGAATCTTGTTCTGAACCTAATGGTGGCCTTGGTTTCGTGGTTGGAGGTGTCTAGGTAAGGATTCTGGCTTGGGCAGTGGCTAAAACGAAAAAAAAAGGAATAGGAAAATGACTTAAAAATAAATCAGAACGGGGAAGAGACTGGAATATAACCAGCTCTTGATACCATGAAGAAAAGAAAAAGTGGAAGAAGTGTTTTATCTGAATAATACTTTCTTGATTCATTGAGAGACCTAATGGGTCCTTTTTATATTGAGTACATCCAACTACCTCAACTACTTTAATAAATATACAACTACCAACTACATCAATAAATATACAACTACCAACTAAATATACAAATACCAACTACATCAATAAATACTATCTAGAATATTCTACATATTCTACAATAATGGATCCTAACCCTTAGAAAAACCTGTTTCTGGAAGACTAACATAAAAAATACTCCCCATTAAACCCCGACAAGCAAGGATTGGGGTGAGGGCTATCCTTATACACAGTTTTACCTTTGCATATTTACAAAGAGGTCGTTTCCCGGATTCGAACTTGTGACCTTTCAGTCACAAAAGGAGAAGTTTTACCACTACTCCAGGTTTGCCCTCTTTTCTTTACAAGACATAAATAAGATACAAAATAACCCTGCTACAGCAACCTTGCTAGTATGCTACAGTGCCATGAAAAGTAGTAATCTAAAACAGCCCAAACATCAACTCAACATTTTATTATAATTAATTCCCTTTGTCCTTCATGAGGGGATTTCTTGTAGCATGTGCATTTTTGCTGTCATTGTTTGCTTATATTGCTTTATGATGTTTGGGAATTGTTTTGAGGTGAATGTTTCTAAAGGATTGATTTATAGGGGATTTTCATAAGGATACAAAATGGTGTTTGTGGATTTCATTATAAAAAACATCTGAAATATTGGCTTCCATTACAATTCACAGGCTCTAGGTGGTTTAGTTGTAGGGCAGTTGAGTCATTTTGTTATATTTGAGTGGCAATCAATTAAAAATCTCCTAATGTCAGCTGGTCACTGTTTGTTGTAACATGCATTACGAGAGGCTTTGTAGATAGTTTCTTTTGTATGTCATTTCCTTTTGATGTTTGATATAAAAGTCTTTTCACTATACTAGTTTGGTGTCAAACGAATAGCAGTGTGTTATATATGGAAATTGAATGTTCCATAATTCAGTTGTTGTGCTTCGTTCAGATTGCCCTAGTTAGGGTTTCTTTTGGGAATACCTTATAGCTGTTCAAATTAGGTTTGTTCAGATAGGAAGGATTCTCACTTGTCTGGATATAATGTGTCTATTTCATCTTGAACAATTAGAAAAGCTCATTTGGTTTTCTATTGGTCTGCCATATTCTAGCTGCTGGAGACAATCATAAAGAATTGTGGGGACATCGTTCACTTGCATGTTGCAGAGAGAGATGTTCTTCATGAGATGGTGAAAATAGTAAAGAAGAAGGTATTCATATTTCTTAAATGTTTTCTTAGCCTTCCAATTTTATACCTGCTTTCATCTTGTAGAATATGTTTATAATATTTTTCATGCCAATTGTAGCCTGATTCTCATGTCAGAGAGAAGATACTGATTCTTATAGATACTTGGCAAGAAGCTTTCGGAGGACCAAGGGCAAGATATCCACAGTATTATGCTGCATACCAGGAACTGTTGGTATGTTTACCAAGTTATTTGCGTTGAGGTTTTTTACCAAGTATTTCCTCTCCACTTACTATTGTGAGCAGGAAGGGAAGCAATTCATAAGAAAAGTATTTCACACTTTTCTTTTGGACATAATACTCTCATGATATTGCTTGTATGGGTTTCGAGTACGAATGGTTACACTCAGAATACTTGCATAAACCTTTTTAATTTTTTTTGTCTATTTCTTTAATTCTATAAAGGATATGTTTGTGTCAGCGTGCTGGGGCAGTGTTCCCTCAGAGGTCTGAGCAATCTGCACCTGTTTTTACACCACTACAAACACAACCACTGACATCGTACCCTCAAAATATAAGAGACTCTGGTGCTAGGCAAGACACAGCTGAGTCCTCAGCGGAGTCTGAGTTTCCAACCCTAAGGTACATTTCTCTCTCTTTTCTTGTTATCATCTAAAGGAAGTTGACTTAATTGTTGATAACTTGATATTGATTCATAGTTATCTCTTAGTTTCTAACTCCCATGCTATCTTCAGATCTTTCTTTGATGGAATGCCTTAAGTATATATAATTCTAGTTTAGTTCAGCCTCGTAACCATATCTATTATCTGTTGAGATTTTTTTGCAGCTCGGATGTCACATTTTGAAGCCATATGCTTTTTCTTTTATAATTGGCATAGCCTTGTATATCATTTTTTTCAATTAAGATGGTTGTTGCATCATTTTTCCCCCCTAATGAATCAAGCAAGGGTAGGTGATGTTTGGGGAATCAATGGTAAGTAAAAGAAAGAATGCAAGATTTAGTTTAAAAAAAGGAATCAAATTTTTTAACTGGGTTTTTTATATATTCTTTTCTAGATCTATGTGTACCCTATAAGAGTGATAGATAATTGGAGTTTAAAGCTCCCTCTTGTTTCTTGCTTTATATGATAGTATTAAAAAATGTTACTCTGGATACATTTATCAATCTCTTTAAAACTGGTAAGACATTTTTTTTTTCAAATCTAAGAACTTGAGCTGTTCGAATTTCAATGGATTGAAATTACATTCTCTTCTTTTCTTTATAGTATCATGAACATATGTTACTTTTTTGTTTGTACTGCTGTTTCTATTAAGATCAGGCTATCAGCAATAACTAATGTTATGATGATGATAAAAATTATGCTATGGTACAGATTACCGTATGTAATTATGCATTGAGTTTGTTTTAATTGAACTTTCTATTGCCAGTTTAACTGAAATTCAGAATGCACGTGGTATTATGGATGTTCTTGCGGAAATGCTCAATGCATTAGACCCTGGTAACAAAGAAGTAAGTTGTTCAATTCAAACTTTCAAATTAAGATGTATAAAAAAAGGGGAAAACCCTGGTGCACAAGGCTCCCTAACTTTGCGAGGGCAGGTGTGAGGGTTGAAGCTCCCTTAATTTCAAATTAAGATGTATATTAATAAAAGGATATTTTGTGAAGCTTAAGGCTTTTATCAACAAAGCTGCTGATTCTATTAAATATGTGACATTTTCAGGGTCTTAGGCAGGAAGTTATTGTTGATTTGGTGGAGCAATGTCGAGCATACAAGCAGAGAGTGGTACACCTTGTTAATTCAACCTCGTAAGCCTGATGTCCCTTTTCATGAAATTATGACATAATGATAGCCGTATTAACATATTCTTTACATTTTGATTCATGTTAATTGTATTTTGAATTAATTTTCTTAAAAGAAAGCTAAGTTATTTGTTTTCTTGTCTATTTTTCAAGGGACGAGTCACTTCTATGCCAAGGACTAGCTCTGAATGATGATCTGCAGCGTGTACTGGCCAAACATGAATCCATTGCTTCGGGTACTTCTGCTCAAAATCACACTGAGAAACTGATGCCTGCACCTACTAGAGAACTTGTTGATGGTCCTTTGGTTGATACTGGAGATACTAGTAAACAAACTCACGGGAGGTAGCCCAGTATCTATTGTTGCTCAGCATTCCTTGATATATGATACTATCAGTCTTGCCAATTAGAATTCAAATAATTCATTTTTTACCCTATTGAAATGCAATTAATTATTTACTTTTAGCTATTTTTTGACACAGTAAATTTTATTATTCAAAATAAATTGTGAATTATATGTGCCAATGGAGTTGTGGAAACTTGTTTATATTGTTCCTAGTGGAATGATGTTTGCTGTCAGGACTTAAGAGTACAATTGAATTTGAATTCTTGTTTTTGGCTTTAAAGCTAAGCTTTGTGAATTCCTGTGCTATTCTTTTACTTTTGAATTTTGATACATTAGTTTTTATCATTCTTCAGATTTGCACTTGGGAGTGTTATATTCCACTATCAGAAGACTCCATTGTTTTGCTTCATTCATACATCAGTAATTTGTTGTTGAATCTCGTCTTCAATGAACTAGGTCATAGGCTTAGTTTTGGCTGCAGACTGACGTATGTTGTTTCTTTAGTGTATAAACACACAGAAATAGATTGGTGTATGAAATTACATTCTAAGTTGACTTAACTTCTCTGGTGCCTTCTGGTTATATGGATCATCATTTTAATATATTTTTGCAGATCGTCTTCTAGTGCTGAAGCAGGGTCCCAAACATTAAATCAGTTATTGCTTCCTGCACCCCCCACATCCAACGGTTCAGCTACCCCTGCAAAGGTTGATCCCAAATTTGACCTGCTCAGTGGTGACGACTACAACTCACCAAAAGCGGAGACTTCACTTGCTATTGTTCCTCTTGGAGAACAACAGCCAGCCAGTCCTTTGTCTCAGCAAAATGCCCTTGTTCTTTTTGATATGTTCTCTAATGGAAGCAATGCGCCTACTTCTGTTAATATCCAGCCAACTAATGTTGCTGGACAAACCAGTCCGTTAGCTCCCCAATTTCAACAACAGCAGACTTTCATATCTCAAGGTGTATTTTACCCCAACGGAAGTGTGCCAAATGTTCGGTCACCTCCGTATGAGCAATCACCATACACACAAAGCACAGGTCCTGCCTGGAATGGTCAGGTTGCACAGCAGCAACAGCCACATTCATCGGTTTATGGTGCACTTAATGCTTCTTTATTGGGTTAAATTCCTGTTTGGCTCAAATCCTTCCCCAATTACGTTCTGATCTTTTTAGCAGTTGCTGATTTGCTGTTATGAATTCTGATCCCTTGTTTTAATTTGGTTCATGGAAAATTCTTAAGTCTTCAATGTTTTCTTTTCCAAATGACTGGCAATGATTTGCTGGGTTGGTAACTGGTTGGATTGAGGAGAATGTCAATGTATAGGATTTGAGCACTTATTTTTGGGATAGTTTTGCATCATTCACCTTTTTTTTTTTTTTTTTGGCAGCTACGCAAAGTGGTGGATCATTGCCGCCACCTCCATGGGAAGCTCAACCTACAGATAATGGTAGTCCAATAGCAGGCACTCAATACCCACAACCATTGCAAGTCACTCAAATGGTTATGACACGTGCACAAATTGCTGCACATCCTCAGGGACCTCAAGCAAGTGGGCATGAGCAGGCTGTTGGTATGTATATGCAGCCAAATGCTAGCCATATGTCAACAATCAATAACCATGTTCAAAGCAATCAATTGGGCTGGTACCCTGGGCATATTCAGGGTGTTGCAGGTCCCTATATGGGTATGGTTTCACATCAAATGCAAAATGTTCCTTTGTCTTCCATGTATCCTCAACAGATGTATGGCAACCAATTCATAGGATACGGCTATGGTCAGCAACAAGGGGTTCAATATGTTGAGCAGCAAATGTATGGTTTATCTGTGAGAGATGATAGTGCTCTGAGAAATTCTTACCAGGTTTCTGCTACATCTTATGTGCCATCTGCGAAGCCTTCAAAGCCAGAGGATAAGTTGTTTGGAGACCTTGTTGACATGGCTAAAGTGAAACCAAAATCTACTCCAGGCCGAGCTGGTAGCATGTAGAACTGTGATTGGGTTTGCATTTTTCATCTGTTTGCTAACTCTTGTCATCTTTTTTCTTTATTCTTTTCATTTTACTTTTATATATATTAATAGATGTAAATTTTTTTTTGTTGGTTATTGTCCCATATTGTGTTGCTTGTCTGACAGTTGGCATAGATTATGTACATTTGTTCTAGAGAACACTGAAAATTGAAAGGAAAAAATTTGGCATCTGTATTCCTCTTCTCTTTTTTGTGGGAGTTATGGTTAAACGATAGTTTGGTATCTTCTAGTGAAATTTCAGGAAATATGTTTCCATGCAATTTTTCGTTTGTGAAGTTTATTCCCCAATTTCTCTCCTGTATTGTAAAGGGGACAACGATTATCCCCGAGTGCGTTTGGTAGAGGAGATATTTTTTTACTAGGTAAATGTAATTACCAGTAATATAGTAGAAAAGTTAAAAAAAAGTTGTTTGGTGGTCAAAATTTTACGAGGAAAATTGGATAAAATTTTGTGAGTCTTTATTTGGTTGAAAGTGAAATAATAATGGATAAATGTGTTGAAATACCGAAAATAATCCTTGATATTTTAGAGTGTAGACATGTGTACTTAGAAGAGGGTAATATGATAACCTCCTTGTTTTACCTTTTTGCAGTTGAGCTAGTTTTCTAGGAATACCACATTTAAAGTGGTAAAGTTTTACAGTGATTTGGTTTTGATTTTGCACATGCTTGTCAAAGGTCCGGGAAAAGAGAAGCATAACAATTTTTTTTTAATCTTTCTACCAAACAAAGTAATCATGGAATGCCAATTCAAGATGGATGGGAAACCAAACCAAAACTTGAACCAAATGTCCCCTTGAGGAAGTTAACCCTAAATGCCAACTGAACTATGGAGAACGATGTAATGCATGTTTGGATCTTGTTCTTTTTAGTTTCTCATCTTCTTATAAGCAGAAGTTAAGTCAAGTAGATTTTTATAAAATCTTGTATAATAAAAAAAGTTTTTTTATAAAGAAGAAAAAAGTCAAAAATCAAAAGTTTTTAGGTTTTTTAAATTCTAATCAGCTTTTCTTGAAATGAGTATTGAGTTTTTAAGTAATTTTTAAATTAATTTTTTTATATAATTACCAAATAACTTTTAATTTTTTTTTGAAATCTAGCTTAAAAAGAAAAAGATCTAGGCTCCTAGTATGGCACCCAGTGGCGGACCCAGGAATAATTTTTTATGTCCGCACGTTTAATGGTGGGAATTCGAGGGCAGCGCCTCCGAATTTTTTTACAATCAATCTTCTCTTTTTATAAAAATGAAAAAGGAAACAAAGGATTGAGTACGTGACAGGGAAAAAAGATTAAGTTTTCTCTTTAATCAATTTGCGTTACTACATTATTTTAATCATCTCCGTACATTACTACGTTACTAACTAATATAAGAATAAATATTTTTTTTGGTCCTTAACAAAAAACTCGATTCACACTTTAGTCCATTATAAAAAAAATTAGTCACCTCATCCATATGAAATTCAAAGTGGATTCATTTTGATCTTTTTGAGGGATTAATGTAGGTCTTTTTTTAATTTATGAGGGATCACAATTTTAACTAAATTGATCCACTTTAAGATTTTTAAGGACCTCGAGACTTTTTTTTTGTAAGGGACTAAAATGGAGACCATATTTTTTGTTAGGGACTTAAAAGAGTATTTACTCTTAATATATATATTAAACCAAGTGACAAATAAGTATCAACAACTAAAAAAAAAAAAATTGAAGTAAAAATTCTTATGACCGCACTTGCGGGCATTTGCCCGCAAGTGGGTCCGCCGGTGATGGCACCTAACCTCTAAAGAATGGGGATTGCGTCGAATAGAAAAACTTTGTGGCTGCAGAAACTAACGGACATGATTGATGATGGTCTTGTTTTGGAGAGTATGTGGAAGTGTTCGTATTTTCGTAATTTTGTTCTGTCTTATTTCATTCACAGTATTGTTTAAGAGAGCAGCATTACTTTTTAGGGAAATTTTTTTCAGTTGGAGATGAATTATTATTTGTGAAACAAAATTATAAGAGGAATCTAAAATTAATTGGAAACAAAAAAAAACAGAGGTGGAATCCATTTTTATTATGTGTGTGTAGGAATTTAGTTTATCTCATGTTAAATGAGATAAATATAACTATATTTTTTATTGGGTTACGGTTACACGTTATAGTAGTCAGCCTAATAGTGGGTGTAATGAAATATTTCCTTTCCAAATTGTTGATAAATAGCTGTTCAGTTGATTTGCTACTTGTTTTTTAATTTACCAATTATTGAATCATGGTGTATTGGTGGTTTGTCCAATTTTGGAATAAGAAAAGTTCCCTTCACTTTAAACTTTATGTTGAACAAAGCTGGGTTAATAAAAATAAAAGTATGAACTTCTTTTCCTGTAAAACAATATACGTGCGGGAAATAGTTCTATATAAAGAAAAAAGAAAAAGAAAATAGAGATGATGTCCTTAATGCTTATTAAATGTTGGTCAAAAGACTTCTCCCGGAAAGTCTTGATCTCTTGTCACTGTGACATCGAATGACGTGTTTCAATTTTATTTTTTTAATAAAATATAAGCTCCACCTTTAATCTATGAAGCACCGATACTTTAAAAAGTACGATGTGTCGTGTTCGACACTTCTCGACACTCTAAAGGTTAAGTTACGTTGCATTTTGAGTTCCAACTATTATATTCGTTGGATTACGATTACTATTTTATTGAGTTTAATATAAATATTTAAGATATCTTATATTTTTTTTGCAAAATTAATGGGTATTATAATTTTAGCTTTATTATTTTGTTAAATTACTTAATATTAAATATAATATACACAACATAAATTTAAAATATTATATAATATCAAAATGTATTCTAACGTGTCGAAATTTAACATATTTTAAAATTAACATGTCAGAGTATCATATCCTGTGTCCCGTGTCAGTGTCGGTGCAACATAGCTATTAACTGTATCAACCAGAAAATTAAAACCTCTACTACAATGATATAATACAAGAGATCATTTATTATGTTCCGGGATCTCCTTGTAAAATAACGAGGACAAAAAAGAAAAGACTGAAAATAATAAGGATAAAAAAGAAAGATAAAAAAGAAGGAAAAATATGTATTGTAAGAGAGCATCAAATCTTTGTATGGTACATAAGTTTAAAAATATTTTCATAATAGAGATAATTTTTTACTAGATGAAATTTTTTATGCAATTATAAAAAGAAGAGGCCGATTATCAGTTAATTTGTTTACTTTTACTATTATTATTTTACCATTAAATGATATTTAATGTCAATGACTTCAAAACAGATTTAGATACCATCCAATGATAAAAAATGAAAGTAAAAATAAAAAAAATTAATTAGTAAGTAATATAAGATGAGATTTTTACAAGAGATGTGTGTTAGTAAAATAAAAAAAAAGAATTGTGGCAATTATTCCCGTTCAAAGTAACTTTATTTGTAAACTAATCTTTTCTTCTTAAGAAATAATTTTATTTTCTAAATATGTTAAATTCATATAGAAATATATAAAAGAAAAAAAATAAAATATAGACTATTCATCTATGTAGCATAATATTGACACGGGACACGTGACACGACACTCCGACACGTTAATTCTAAAAAATGTTGGATTTTGACACGTTAAGACACATTTTGATATTAAATAATATTTTTAATTTATGTAGTGTATATTATATTCAATATTCAATAATTTAATAAAAAAAATGAAGTTAAACTCATAATACTCATCAATTTTGCAAAGAAACACAATATATCCCAAATATTTATATTAAATTCAATAAAATGGTAATCATAATCCAACGAATCTAATAGTTGGAACCAAAAACGCAACGCTACGCAATCTTTGAACCATTTTTTGAGTTTCTACATTGCGTGTTGGAGTGTCGAAGAGTGTCGAATTGTCGGAAAGTGTCGGACACGACACATCAGAGTTTTTGAAGTATCGGTGCTTCATAGCTGTACGTATATATATAAAATAAAATTATCTCTTAATAAAATATTAAGAAAAAGAAACGCACCGCGGGGAGAGTGACCATTTTGCCACGCTTGGACAAAAAAATTACCAGACTGCCACGCCAACAATAAATTTTGCCAAAATGCCACGCGACATAATTCGCTACACAGTGTAGCGAATTATGTATGCAAGTAATTCGCTACACAGTGTAGCGAAATATGCCACGTCAGAACCAAAAATACCACATGTCAAATTTTGCAAAATTCGCTACCCTATGTAGCGAATTTGGCAAAATTTGACATGTGCCATTTTTGGTTCTGTGCGTTTGGACGTGGCATATTTCGCTACACTATGTAGCGAATTACTTGCATACATTATTCGCTACACTCTGTAACGAATTATGCCGCGTGACATTTTGACAAAATTTAATGTTGGCGTGACAGTCTGGTAAAATTTTTGTCCAAACATAACACTTTGGTCACTGTTCGCGCACCGCGGGTGCCAGCTGTGTTAGAGAGTGACGAGCGTGCCCGTCATCTTCTTGGTGGGTCCACAAGTTTAGGGTTTGCAATTTGCAGAGTTGCAATTTACTTTTCATTTCTTCATTTCCGATCTAAATTGACCAACACAATTTGACATTTATTCCATTCTTTCCTTTCTGCAACTCGCGGAACCGAAAGATATCAATCATCAGTTTCGTGCGACACGGTACGATATTTTGTTCCTTGTTACCTGTCTTCGTTTTCTCAATTTTGTTCATAGACACGCATAATGAAATATTTTTTTCTTTTAATCCTGCAGTTAAATTCATTCTAAGGATTATTCTGCAGTTTGCTCGTATCCAGCATGCAGGTTCGTCACCACTCACTATTGTTCTTTTTCCTTTTTTCTTTTTCCCTGGTTATAGATTAGATGTAATGGATGCAATTATTGTGAGTAACCAATAGGTGTTTTGAATTGATTAGCACTTGTTTGTGGATAATTAATCTGAATAGTTGTAATTGTTATGGTATGGGTTATCCGAAGGACCAGGTGTTTTGAATTAACTTGCAGGATGATCGTGTGTTAGAATACAAACAATTGCATTTTGTGTGGCTATGTACCTGATTTTGTTTCCAGCTCTTGCAATTGTAATAAGCTTGATTCTTCAATGAAGTCTTGACTTTGGATTTTTTTTTTCATGCAGGCATCGCGGGCAAGGCTGTTCAAGGAGTACAAAGAGGTGCAACGAGAGAAGGCTGTTGATCCTGATATTCAACTTGTATGCGATGATTCAAATATTTTTAAATGGACAGCTCTTATTAAGGTATACTCGATAAGACTCTTGTAGAAGACTGTATTAAGATACTCAACCAGTCTGTGATGGTTCTGACTTTTGCTATGTTTTGTTTGGTTAACAATCAGGGACCCTCAGAGACTCCTTATGAAGGGGGTATCTTTCAGCTCGCTTTTTCTGTTCCAGATCAGTATCCTCTACAGCCGCCTCAAGTCCGATTTTTGACTAAAATATTTCACCCAAATGTCCATTTTAAGGTAGGATGGATCTCTCTGTAAGTACCTATCAGTTTTCACCTATAAAGCACAACCATATGATTTGTGAGGAGAATTAGATTTCCCTAATTTATTTCGCAGATGAATGGTTTTTGTATGATATTAATAACTCCTTATCTAAAGTCTAGGAAATTTTTATTAACAATTAAAGAGATAATTTATAGATAAACAAGAGCAATACTCCCAGCAAAGGTGAAGATTCTCCCAGCCCTTCAGCCAAGGCTGAAATACAATTCAGAAAAGCAAAATAATCCTACCCATTCCTTCTACTTACGTACATATAGAGAGCCCCCGACACTACTGCAGTTACATCACTATTATTTATTTAAATCCTGCACATTACAACAGTTATTACTGCAGTTATTTATTTAAATGACTGACTCCTACATACTACAAGAATAACTGACCGCATTACATAACTGAACTACACCCATTACTAGTCACTAACTTAAATTATATTGCTATCACTGTATTTTTCCATCCAAGTGATGCATAGTTTAGAAAATATGTAATAGTTGTTTGCATGGGAGTGAATTTAGATACCATGGTAGTCCCTGCTATGAACCATCAGTGTTGAAACAAAAAAGTTCTGCAACTTCTAACATGGACATACTATAGTGCTCATGTATGATATTTGTAAATGATGATTTTTTTCACTTGGTCTCAGTTTTCTTGATTACCTTCTCTATGGTGGGAAGACCAATAATGTTAGCAATTTATGGGAGGCTGATAAGTTAAAGAAGACTAAGCTCTATGCCTATTATTAACCCCCTCAAGTTTAATAAAGAACTCATTGGAGACTGAGATCTTAATATTGATTTGAATTTGATGGCCTAGTTAAATATTTTTGCTTTTGTTCAGTTCTTTATAAGCTTGATAAATAACTTTTTTCTAGTGAATTTTATTTTCTTGACATTTCTTCATGATTATTATTTAAACATCTATTATTTTTCCAGACAGGGGAGATTTGCTTAGATATCTTGAAAAATGCTTGGAGCCCAGCTTGGACGCTTCAGTCTGTCTGTAGGGCTATAATTGCTTTGATGGCCCATCCAGAACCTGACAGTCCACTGAATTGTGATTCGGGTTGACAAACTTTCCTCACTTTATATCTTTTTCTCTTTTGTCTCTAGTTTTGTGGAATTGAAAGGAAGTTTTATTCTTCTCCCTCTCCCTCAAATGAAAAAAAGAGCTGCAAGGAAGAGACTTGAATTCATATGATACTCAATTGTAGTATACTTTACCTTGATTGTCATGATCAGATAGAATTTGGATTCGAGGATTGAGAGAATGCAAAAGACATGCCTATTAACTACTTTTAAATATCCGTATGCTTATGAATGATGCTTGAGAGAATGGTTGAGGAGGTGGTGCATTAGACTTAATGCAGGCCCGTTTGTTGTCTTCAACTGTGTGTACTGTTTGAATTTACATTATATTTCTAGATTTTTGTTTTTTGATTATAGAACTGTCTGCAATTGCATTTGGGTATTATGGGAAAATAAATAACTTCGAATGCTTAAGCCTTCAACTCATTCCAATACTATGCCTTCATTCTCTCTCTCTCTCTATGCCTTCATTTAGGTGAATCTCTCTCTCTCTCTCTCTCTCTCTCTCTCTCTCTCTCTCTCTCTCTATCTATACCTTCATTTAGGTGAACTGAAAATTTATAATGTTGGACACCAGTATGAAAGGAAACTTTTCCCCCCACTTATTTTCGACCTTTTGGTGTAACAGGTAATCTTCTGCGTTCGGGTGATGTTAGAGGATACCAGTCCATGGCAAGAATGTACACGAGGCTTGCAGCAATGCCAAAGAAAGGCTGAATGATTTCAGATAACTTGTTTCCTATGTTTGTCTAGGTAACAAGTTAGGAATAGATACGGCAGATCTTTGTTCTAATCTTGATTTGTCTAAAATGTATGCATTCTAAGACATGATTCTAATTGTTTGATGATATGCATTTAAGTGTTGACTTGTACAGAGTGTAGATGTGACTTCGCATATCTGGATTATGCGACAATTGAGCTCGACATACTTGAATAATCCTTGTTGATTGTTTCAATTTTATGAAAGCCAGATATATTTAGTTTCTCCTGTGCATTCGATAATTTTAATCTGGAGCAGCATAATGTGTGCAGTTCAATTGCTTTCATAGTTTGACTGATCGGGCATAAATCTCGGTCTAATTCTTGCTTCATTTTGAAGAAATTTTTTACTTCTTGCATGAGGATCAACCCCTGACTATTGATGGAATAATACCATTTATTATCAATAGGATTCACAATATCTGAAGTTTGTGATCTCCTCGGATGAAGAGAGAAGCTTCTTCTTGGAGGTCATAGCGTAGATCAAAATTTCTTTAGAAATTTTCTCCAAACTGGGCATGAGGATGGGAGAAACCGTAGAATAAACACGGTTTTTCTATTTTTTTTTTTATTTTCTGGATCAACAAAATAGCCTTGACATTTTCGTGATAATGCACATTGGAGAAATTCTTGCATAAACTTCTGTACCAATTGCACTAAGTCAATCATCGATGAATCTTAATTAATGTTTAATTCTCAATTTAATTAAATGTTAATAATTTGTTAGCTTAATTGGTGCACCTAACTTAATGTACTAAGGTTTAAGCATAATTTTTGTGCACAGCAATGCTGCCCCATTATAATAAGATTCAACCTCCTTGTATATGAGATATTCAAATGCAAACTGATGTGTGACATTGTAGGCTCAGCGACTTTTTGTCTTGTCGAATTTTTTTCGGGAAAAGCATAGAAATAATGGCGGATGTAACCTAATGGGAACAAAATTAAAGCATCAGAAATGCATTAGGGGCGTGTACCCAAAGCACATAAGAATCATGTCTCCTTGGCATAAATAAAAGTTACATAGAACTATGGTTCAACATTTATAGAACTACAAATAATGGTGACACCTTAGACTAGAGGATACATTCAACAGGTAAAGCATTCGCATTATTCGTAACATGACACATACAATCATACAAAGGCAACTGGAATGAGCCAGAGCAAGCTGGTATTTAACAGTCATACAGGACTTTATGAACACATCCGAGGGCACCGGCTAAGGCTTTAAAAACCTGTCAAACCAATCAGATGATTCCTTTAGCTGGAATCTCGTTAATTGGTGTCCAACTCCAGGTTCCGCAATAAACTGCATGTCAAAGCAATCAATCGCAAATGAACAGCCATCTAGGTAATTCAGAATTAAGCAGTACGAAGACGATACTTGAAGCTTAAAAGAAAATGTAACAACGGAAGCTTCATTTCTTTTTCATAATATACTCATGAAATTTTTTGAATTTGCTAACTTTATATTGAATTTACTAACAAGGGCCCGCATTTGTTAAAGAATAAAAATAAAAAGTATTCATTAGCAAAAAAAGAAAAGTATTAAATGAAAAAAGTATTAATATATTTTAATATATTAAATGTTGTACTTTTCAAAAAACACTTTTTATTTTTTATACTTTATCCAATAAATACCCTTAGGTACTTGTTTGCAAAAGCCAATTTAATTTTTATTAAAACTGGACACCGAGAGACAAAATCAGTTGAAGCTCCATCAAATCATGAGCTACTGACTATGTAGCACCGATACTGACACGGGACACGTGACACGATACAACACGACACTCCGACACGTTAATTCTAAAAAATGTTAGATTTCGACACGTTAGAACACGTTTTGATATGAAATAATATTTTTAATTTATGTAGTGTATATTATATTTAATATTCAATAATTTAACAAAAAAGTGAAATTAAACTCATAATATTCATCAATTTTGCAAAGAAACATAAGATATCCCAAATATTTATATTAAACTTAATAAAATGGTAATCGAAATTCAACGAATTTAATAGTTGAAACTAAAAACTCAACGCAACGCAACCTTTGAACCTTTTTTTGAATTTCTATAACACGTGTTAGAGTGTCGGGGAGTGTCGAAGAGTGTCGGAAAGTGTCGGACACGACACATCAAGAATTTTGAATTGTCGGTGTTTCATAGGCTACTGATAAACGCTATTGACAAATAGACACATCTAAACTATATTTGGCTCAAAAGCTTTTTTTTTTATCCCGAAAATAAGAATAGGATTTTATAGGAAATTTAGGTGAGTACTAAATGCTGAAGTCTCCCATTGCTTAGGAATAGATTGAAGGTTTTGGGATAAAATTGGAGTTAAACTCACCTATTATGATTGAGATTTATACTTGCCATGGAAGATCTAACAAGTTTTATTAGCGTGTGCACATGATAACACATGAAATAAATATTAATGAACAAACTAATAAAAAATATTAAATTAAAAGTAGAATCATTTAGTACAACAGGTGTAGGTACTCTATTATCAAAAATGGAAAAAAAAAAAAGATATGAAAGGAAATAACAAAGATAAAGGATAGTGAAAATATATTACTTTTTTACATATTTGATAAAGGATGTATTGACTGGTCAGTACATCCATAGTATCGTATTTTCCTAGAAATGGAGCAACATCCTCTATCCGTACACTTTCTGCTCAGTCAAAAAATAAATAAATAAAAAGGTGTACACTCATCAAACCACTTGGGCGGAGTGTGTAGGTGGTTTGGGTGTGGTAGGTAAGTCTAGCTTCAAGTCGTAGTAAAGACTTCCTCTGTTCGAGAGATATAATATAAAATCATTTAAGACCCATCACTTCCAAACTTAAATTATTGAGTTGAATTGGTTGCTTGTTATGGTATAAGAGTCAAAGTTCTTTACAACATCCCCAAAAAAAAGTATAAGCTCATCTCGTATAACGCATACACTCACGGGCATGTGTTTGCCATATATTTGGAAAGAAAAACTTGAATTCAAGTGATTTCCTTTCCACTTGTATAGTTTTATTACGAGAAGATTTTAATGAGATGGTGCTATGGGAATTACAGGTTGCAGCCAACTATTAAATCTACGCATTCTTATCAAGCTGATAATGGAAGACCAGATTGGCAAGTTTAAGATTACTTACCAAAGTGGCCAAAAAATGTAAGTTCATACCTTGAAATTATCTAAACAGTGAAACTCTCCGTATGCCGGGCTTGCTTTTAACCTTGGAATTTCCAAGCCTGCGAGGGGACATCGAGGATCTTCTGCACCTAGAGTTCCCAATACCCAAATAAATATTTCAATTCCAAGTAAACTTCAAAAACCTATAAATTGATGTAGAGGTCTACAATGTAATTGATATACCCTAAAGAAGTGAAAACCTTGTATTGCAGTGTGGTTAAACTGAATTGTCAATATATGAATAAGGTTGGCATATAGAACTTGAAAATGTTTGTAGCGATAAAAAAGGAGATTGGAGAAGATTATGAAAAAATAGTAGATAAGATTAGCTGTTATCCTATTTCAAATGTAACTAGGAGTATAAAGGATAAGGATTATCCTTATCATATGTTTAAATTTAAATTATTATTGGATTCTGATACAAACCCAATAACGAAGGCCCATAAATATGCTGAGTCAGTAAAGAATATTCTATAGTTTGTTATGGGGAAATCAGTTGCGGGAAGGATGGGAATCAACACGGGTTGAAGTAGTTAAATAGGGGAAATAAGGAGCAAGGTGGGCATCTTGGAAAATCGCTTGGACTTGGAACTCTTGGGAGAGTGTGAGGCCTCTCGAATTGTCTCACATTACCTTTTCTTCTTCTTTCTGTATTTTCCATTACTGTAATTGCCATTTCCATAGGAGCACCGGCGGACCCACTTGCGGGCAAATGCCCGCAAGTGCGGTCATAAGAATTTTTACTTCAATTTTTTTTTTTTAGCTGTTGGTACTTATTTGTCACTTGGTTCAATATATATATTAAGAGTAAATACTCTTTTAAGTCCCTAACAAAAAATATGGTCTCCATTTTAGTCCCTTACAAAAAAAAAAAAGTCTCGAGGTCCCTAAAAATCTTAAAGTGGATCAATTTAGTTAAAATTGTGATCCCTCATAAATTAAAAAAAGACCTACATTAATCCCTCAAAAAGATCAAAATGAATCCACTTTGAATTTCATATGGATGAGGTGACTAATTTTTTTTATAATGGACTAAAGTGTGAATCGAGTTTTTTGTTAAGGACCAAAAAAAATATTTATTCTTATATTAGTTAGTAACATAGTAATGTACGGAGATGATTAAAATAATGTAGTAACGCAAATTGATTAAAGAGAAAACTTAATCTTTTTTCCCTGTCACGTACTCAATCCTTTGTTTCCTTTTTCATTTTTATAAAAAGAGAAGATTGATTGTAAAAAAATTCGGAGGCGCTGCCCTCGAATTCCCACCATTAAACGCGCGGACATAAAAAATTATTCCTGGGTCCGCCACTGCATAGGAGTATACTTATGTTAATGTAATTGTCCTTTGCTAAAATACTGTTATCGCTGGTTTATATCAATATACTGTTCCTGAGGTATTACTTTCCATAATTTTTCTCAATTGTTCTGTTGATCTCTATCAATTGGTATCAGAGCTCTCTGATCGGAGGAGCTTTGAAAAAAATAAAAATAAAAATAAAAATGGAAAAGCAATTTTGCAAAATCTGAATTCCAATATTTTCTGGTGAGGAAGATGCGTGGGGATGGTCGATCCAGGTTGAGCAGTACTTCAAGGCAAAGGGAATTCCGGATAATGAAAAGTCATGGGAAGCTAGGAAGGCGTTCACCGGTGAAGCTCGAATCTGGTACCCATACTGGTATTCATACGATACAAACCCATTGAATGGAGAGAAAATATTGAAGAGAATGAATTAAATTCCTAACAGAGTTGGTTCTGACTTATATATCAGTCCCAGTGGAAGTCTAACCGAATGGAACCAATAAAGAGATAAAAACTAACTAACTAACTAACCGAATATCATACTAACTAATTGATATAAATAACTAATCATAACAACCCCCCTCAAGTTGGGAGGTGAATGTCAATGAGTCCCAACTTGGAAACAAAAGACTTAAAAGGAGCAGGCTTCAAAGCTTTGGTAAAACAATCAGCAAGTTGGGCTGAGGAAGGAACAGGTAGCAACCGGATTAAACCACTTTGAATCTTCTCACGCACCAAATGACAATCTATTTCAATGTGTTTGGTACGTTCATGAAAAGTCGGATTGTGAGCAATGTGGATAGCTGATTGATTATCGCAGTATATGTTGGAAGCTTGCGAAGGAGATGAACAAAGATCACTGAGGAGGAAGTGCAACCACTGCATCTCACATGTAACTGCTGCAAGAGCTCTATATTCTGCTTCACAAGAAGACTTGGAGATCGTTGTTTGCTTCTTTGACTTCCATGCTATCAAGGATGACCCTAGAAATACACAGTATCCAGTGACAGAACGTCGTGTGTCTATACAAGAGGCCCAATCAGCATCAGAAAATGCCGTGGGCACTAAATCATTTACTGCAGCAAAGTAAAGGCCCTTTCCTGGAGAGCTCTTTAAGTAGCGCACAATTCGAAGTGCTGCCTGCATATGTTCCTCCATAGGTTGAGAGAGGAATTGACTTAATTGTTGAACAGCATATCCAATATCTGGACGGGTATGAGTAAGATACAGCAAACGTCCTATTCGTCGTCTATAACTATGAGGATCAGTAATAGGAGAACCTTGTTTAGAGTGAAATTTGCATGAGAAATCCATGGGTGTTGATGCAGCTTTTGCACCCAACAAACCGGTATCTGAAAGTAACTCAAGAGCGTATTTCCTCTGGTTCATAATGATACCTTTGGACGATCTGCATATCTCGAAGCCAAGAAAGTACCTCAAAACACCAAGATCCTTTATCTTAAATTGGGCATCTAAGGAAGCCTTAACACGTTGAATTTCATCAAAGTCATTTCCTGCCAATACAATGTCATCGACATAGACAAGTAAAGCAGTAAATGAAGAACCACCAGATTTAACAAACAAAGAATGATCAGAAGATGCTTGGCAGTAACCAAGTAAAACCAAGGCAGATTGGAGCTTTGCGTACCATTGTCGACTGGCTTGACGAAGACCATAGATGGATTTTTGAAGTTTGCACACTTTAGAAGAAGCATATGAGGTCTGAAGTCCAGGAGGCAAAGACATATACACCTCTTCATTTAACTCACCATGTAAGAAGGCATTGTTCACATCCAATTGTTCGAGGAACCAGCCCTTTGCAACTGCTATACTGAGAAGGACTTTAATTGTTGTGATTTTTGCAACCGGTGAAAAGGTATCAAAGAAATCTACCCCTTCAAGCTGGGTAAATCCTTTGGCAACAAGACGCGCCTTATATCTTTCTACTGTGCCATCTGCCTTGTGTTTAACTTTGTAGACCCATTTGCATCCAATGGGTCGTTTTCCACTTGGAAGATCTACTACTGTCCATGTACTGTTCTGTTGAAGAGCCTTCAATTCAGTCTCCATAGCTGCCTGCCAACATGGGTGTTTGACAGCTTCACCATAGGAAGTGGGCTCAACTGCTGTACTATTGTTGAGGCAGTAACGAGTGTATTGAGCTGAGCACTTATCAAAATTCATCACTGCTGCAAGAGAATGACCAGTGGAAGAAGGTTGAGAGGAAGATTTAGTCACATAATTGCAGTAAAAATCCTGCAAGTAAGAAGGATTTCTGCTTGGTCTAGAGGAACGCCTAGTTGGCAAAGGCAATGTAGTTGGATTTGAGACTCCAGAAGAAGGATGATCACTGTCATTGTGTTGTTCCTGAACAAGAGTCTCTCTGCATTCAAGTCAGCAATAGGATATAAAAATTCAAAAGGATCATGAACCATGTGATTTACTGGTTGAGTAGAATGAGAAGATTCAATGACTGCACTTTTATCATGAAAAGGAAAATGCATCTCATAAAAAATTGCATTTTGAGAGACAAAAACTTCCCTGGAAATAAGATCTAAAATGACATATCCCTTTGTGCTTTCCTTGTATCCCAAAAAGACTCCCTTTCTTGCACGGGGAGCAAACTTGGAACGATGGGCAGTTAAGGTGTTGGCATAGCATAAACACCCAAATACCTTTAGGTGATCAAAAGTTGGTGGACAGTCATGCAGAACTTCAAAAGGTGTCTTGTTGGTCAGCAAAGGTGTGCACAATCTATTTATTATATGCACTGCATGTATAACACAAAAAGACCAGAGATTTAAAGGAAGTTTTGATTGAAAAAGAAGAGCTCTCGAAAGATTGAGAATGTGCTCATGCTTTCGTTCAGCCACACCATTTTGTTGAGGCGTCTCAGGGCATGTGGTTTGATGCATGATTCCCTTTTGAGAATAAAATTCAGTCATAGCAAATTCTTTGCCATTATCTGTTCGAATGACCTGTACATGTTTATCAAATTGATTTTCAACTAGAATGATAAAACGTTGAAGGTGATTTCGTGTTTCTACCTTGGTGTGCAGTAAAGTCACCCAAGTAAATCTTGAGAAATCATCTACTATAGTCAAAAAATAACGAAATCCTTGTATGGTGGGAACTGCAAATGGTCCCCAAATATCAACATGTAATAAAGCAAGTACTCTATCTGATTTACTCATACTGCAATTATAAGGCAATCGTTTTTGACGAGCAAATTGACAAGTATAACAAGGTTGACTATAGTTACAGTCAATGAATGGAAAACGAACACACATTTGTTTGAGAGTTGTAAGAGAAGAATGGCCTAAACGAAAATGCCATAAAACTGAATCAGGAACTACTTCCTTGTTTCCATTGGTATTATAACAAACTAATGATTTCTTCTGCAGGTCATTCTGCATGTCAGTTGAGTTATTCTTCATGTCAACTGATTTATTCTTTATTCGACTATCTTCGAAGACTTCTGTGAGCAAAATGTATAATCCATTGTGCTTCTCAGCTATACCAATCGTCTGCTGAGTAAGCAACTGTTTAATCCAGCAAACAAATGAGTGAAAAGTAAGAGTGCAATCAAGTGAAATGATGAGTTGATTCACAGAAACCAAATTAACAGAAAATTCTGGTACATAAAGCACATTGTGCAGTGTGAGTAATGGTGAGATGACAATGGTTCCAGAGTGTGACGCATAAACTTTTGAACCATTTGGAAGTGTAATAGCAACCGGTGTGATTTGTCTGACGTAAGAAAATTGAGAAACACTATATGTAATATGATCTGTGGCACCAGTGTCCAAGATCCAGAAAGGGAATCTCTTACCAGAATCATGAGTGCCAACATTGAGTGCTACATTCGATGCATTTGATGTCTGCACTATGTTTGAAGAATGTACACTGTTATCAGCAGCATTGTGTTGCTCAAGGAGCTCAAGAAAACGCTGATACTGATTTTGAGAAAGCATAACTCCTGATGGAGCTTGTTCTGTTTTTGAAGAAAAATCAATGTCGGTTTCTTGGAGTGCTGCATTAGCGGAACGTGGATTGCTTCTTATTTTGTACCCTGGAGGATAACCATGTTTTTCATAACAGGTATCCACAGTGTGATTCGTTTTACCACAGTGCGTACAAAGCTTGTTGTTGCGGCCTCTGCCTGACCCAGTGCGACCTCTGCCTCTACTCATAGTGGATCCTCGAAAAGCTCCTCTGCTGGAAACGAAAGCCTTTGAATCAGCAAATGTATCGACCTGAGAATCCGAACTCAATTGACGTTCTTGTTGTGTGACAAGTGAGAAGACCTTGTTCAGATTTGGCAAAGGTTCCATAAGCATAATCTGCGAACGGACCTGAGTAAATTGCTCATTGAGCCCTTTCAAAAGACGTATCACCTGAATTCTCTCTTGTGATGCACGAACCTGAACCATAGCACCACATGAACATGTTGGATTGCATCTACAAACTGGTAACGGTTGAAGAATCTCAAGCTCATCCCATAAGGACTTGAGCTGAGTGAAATAGTCTGATACAGAACGTTCTCCTTGTTCCAAACGATGAATATCTTCCAGTAATTCAGAAATTCGAAAAATGCTTGATTGAGAAAAACGCTGACTCAGATCTCTCCAAACATCTGATGCAAGATCCATCCACATGATGGAATTAACGATCGAATCCTCAATCGAGCGATGGATCCAAGACAGAACCATGTTATTGCAACGATACCACGCCGGAAAAAGTGGATCTGTGGCTGCTGGAGGATTAACAGTGCCGTCAACAAAGCAAAGCTTGTTCTTCGAAATCAACGCCATAGTCACGGCTCTTTTCCACGTATGGTAATTTTTACCATTCAAGAGGGAAGAAACTAAAGCAAGGGAAGGAGATTCATTTGGATGAAGGAAATAGGGATTTGAAGGGTTTGTAAGGTAGTCAGGAAGAGAGTTCTGGTTTGCCATGCGAAAGAACGGTGAAGTATCAAGGAAAAACAGAAAGACATCACCGAGAAAAGGCAAGAAAGTGAAGGAAAAATACCAGAGCTCTCTTCAGAGCTCTGATACCATCATACGATACAAACCCATTGAATGGAGAGAAAATATTGAAGAGAATGAATTAAATTCCTAACAGAGTTGGTTCTGACTTATATATCAGTCCCAGTGGAAGTCTAACCGAATGGAACCAATAAAGAGATAAAAACTAACTAACTAACTAACCGAATATAATACTAACTAATTGATATAAATAACTAATCATAACAGGTATAATCCAAAAGTTAGTTGGTGGACATTTTTAAAAGTTTTCTTCAAGGAATTTCAACCGGAAGTTTGCTTGGAAGACGAGGAAAACGGATCGGAGCATGAAATCTTGAATTCTGTTGTGTATTCAGAAAAGGAAACAGAACAGTTGAAGGTAAAGAAAGAAGAAAAAAAACAATCATCAACGTCCTAGGGGGAGAAGAACCACCCACACCACTAGCTGAACCGCCAACTGCAACAGAGGAGCCAACGGAAGCCATGCAAGGAGTAGCATGCAGAGAAAGACCAGAGGAAAAGCACGTTCTGATTGGAAACAGTGAAGAAGACCCTCCGGAGAGACATCATCAAGTTATAGAGATTTCAGAATTTATTAGAGTTCATAACACCAACAAGGTGTTCCTCAGTTTGGGCCAAACAAAAACTATAAACGAAGACCATGGGGAGTTGGAGGTTGAGAAGAGTTTTCGATGTGCGCGGGTACAAGCAATGCTGCCACCAACGACGACGGCGGAAAACCCACTGCCATGGCCGGAACCACCGGATTTAAAGAGTGCAAAGGAACCGGCGGCGCCACCATCACAGGAAGAGGTGACTGACCCACCAACGGAATCTGACCCACTGAACGTGAACCCTCATGTGGAAGGGGAGAGGGCTTCGCCAATACCACAAACAAGAGAGGAACGAATTAGGTCAATGAAAGGCTTAGGAGATATGGGCCAGTTTGCTAGCATAATGGAGCAGGCCCAAAGCACTTTCAATGGGGTACCAATCCAATACAGGGGTATGTATCCTCTCTTTTTCATTAGTTGTGATGATGTTTGGGCTTATAAGCCCATGGTTGGGTCAGACTTAATTAGACCCAAAATTCATAATTTCATCCCATCAACACAAGATAACATATCTTCTTGCAAGAATGTACAAACCCCAAACACCATCATAGCTGGGCATTCAGCGGCAATGGAGAGGGAAATTGTCATTTATTGGTGGGTAGGAATGGTGATATCCATCGATCAAAATTTTGGAGCCATTTTACTTGGAGGTAAAAATATTTGTGCTTCTTCATCACAAATGGGCAGCAACCTGAGAGCAAAAACCACAAAAAGGAGAGAAGTGAACTCATACATGGAAAAATTGTTTTGGTTAGTGATTCATCGGGGACTTTGATAAGAACAATTTGGGTGTTTTTCTTTCCTTTCTTTGATGAGTTTTCCTCATACCCAACAACTGTCTTTGATAAAACTAAAACCTGGGATGAAAGGAGAATTATAGTTTGTGCAATTGAAGATGTTGCTAAGCATTATTGTGACGCGTATGACTGTTACTTTCTTTTCCTACTTGAAGCTTATCATAAGGACTATGCGGATTTTCAACAAGCAACTGTCTATATGGTTGGTGCTTGTGCGGTGACGGATGGATCTGTTTTTGAAACCATTGCACATGTTGCTATAATTTCTCAAACTTCTATTAATGCGATTGTAGGTGCATGTGTTACTGGTGAACAATTAAGGAGATGTGCCATTTATCCATTGACAAGTGATATTTGGATGTATTCTGCCATGTCCATCGCTAATATGTCTTTGAATGAATTTCATTCTTATGTTCTTCTGGTTTCTGCAAGTGCTCTCATGGAGCCATATGTGGGGATCAAAGATGAGCAATGGGATCCGGGTGCGAAGGTTATTGAGGATTAAACTTCACCTTGAGGACAAGGTGAAAGTTTACGCGGGGGGGAGTATTGATACAAACCCAAAACCCAATAACGAAGGCCCATAAATATGCTGAGTCAGTAAAGAATATTCTATAGTTTGTTATGGGGAAATCAGTTGTGGGAAGGATGGGAATCAACACAGGGGTTGAAGTAGTTAAATAGGGGAAATAAGGAGCAAGGTGGGCATCTTGGAAAATCGCTTGGACTTGGAACTCTTGGGAGAGTGTGAGGCCTCTCGAATTGAATTGTCTCACATTACCTTTTCTTCTTCTTTCTGTATTTTCCATTACTGTAATTGCCATTTCCATAGGAGTATACTGATACTGTTAATGTAATTGTCCTTTGCTGAAATACTGTTATCGCTGGTTTATATCAATATATTGTTCCTGAGGTATTACTTTCCATAATTTTTCTCAATTGTTCTGTTGATCTCTATCAGATTCTTTGTATCACACTCTATATAAGATGAATTAAAAATGCCAAAAAGAATAAGAAAATAGGGGGAGTTTTTAAGTGAGGATGTAAGTCACTTGACCGAACCTCTAAAATCATTGTGTTGTGTGCGTGCTCTTTTATTTGTGTTCTTTTATTTTTTCCAGTTTGTTAATAATGTTGAATCATCAAAGTACAATATATACAAGGATCTTACCATTAATAATAAGCAGAGGTCGTGGTGCAATAGATGGAATTGAGTAGGGCGAATCAAAATGGGAAGCTAAACCAGGAGCAATCCTGTCCCACACCTGATTAGACATATAAAATTTTGAGATTAGTATCTCGGGTCTACTCTCAGACACTTAAGTTAGAATAACAAGAACAAAGTTCAATATAGAATTTGTGTCCAGTGGGGGAATAACTAGCAATTATGGGATATGTACGAGGTACCAAGCATTGTCAATCATATTTTGTTAAGGCGATAACCATATCAAAGCATATAGCAGTTCATTGGAGACAGAATCATAGTTGGATTCATAAAGGCTTGGCTGACCTTCTCCACCACTTCTTTGTCAATAGCACCTCTACCCAAATCATCACGAGCCACTGCATCCATGAACTTAAGAGCATCAGGGATGTATATAACAAAGCATATTCATTCAGAATATATACGTTCAGTTGTTCACTGGTACCATGCTTTAGTAAGTACCCAATAGGACGCAGATTCATACCATATTTTTCCTTCTAGTTCTTATTCAAACATGGTTCCAACTTCACCATGTAATCTAATCCTTATTATAAATGACATACTGTTAAAAGGAGAACATCAATTTTAAGAAATTATTTGATGTAACATATCAAATCATACACCATGGGCTAGATATACAAATTGGTTCATACAAGATTGCTGGGTTTACATAAACAATAACTTCAATATTATATAAACCTAAATAGTAGAAGGAGCAGGAACAAGAGCAAAGACACAAAAACGGGTAAAGTATAAAAGAAATTACAAAAAATCATTTGTTTTGACATTATCTTACCCTCAAAAACAGGCTTTATACTGTCAACTCGACCATGCCACTTATCATTGTCTATGGCCCATCGGAACCCCTGCAAGTATATACTATATAGCATTAAAGTATTCAAATTGTAATATCTCCAAAAAAAGTGTTCAAATTGTTGTTTCAGAAGCACATCTTATTAAATAAAAGCTTTATTCAATCATTCAATGTCACCTGAACACCGATCACAGAAGCAACTACAGCATAGCGAGTATCAGCAGCTGCGGCAAACCATGCATGCATTCCTGCATCAAGGAATTATATGAGTCACATCAAACATGGCATCTGACATATTCCTTCAACTGCTCTCAACCAACCTCCAAGCGATACTCCAGTGATTCCTATCCTAGAAGGGTCTATATCCTCTCTCTCTGTTAGATAATCTGCCAATTTAATCAAGTCCCAGACCTGCCAAATCAAAGAATAATACACCATTTCCAAACCAAACTAACCGCAAGTTTAAACTGCTCTAAAGTCACCAACTGCAGTTCAACCAAATCATTTGGAGCAGAAAGTTGTTCAGTTTTAACTATATGATAAAGCAGCAAGATAAACAAGAAGTTACCGTGTCATATATGAATGGCATCGTCTCACCGGTTTTCCAGGCAGAAATGAGAGCCTATGTATTTTTTTTTTGGTAACAAAACAAAAGTAAAAGAAACAATAATCAATATGAATTTTATATAGATGACTTATGTTTCACTTTATGAATGATTTTGCGTTAATATTTAAGCAAAAGAGAGTTCATTTTTCCTTTAAATAAAGACGAGATGGACAGAAAAATAATAAAATTTAAAATAAAATTACGTCCCCTAAAGCTTAAATTAAATTCTACAGGTTATAATAATTAACTCAAATAATCAAAATCAAAATCAAATCAATGCCTAAAATTTGTAGTTCCAAATAGAGAAACTGAAGTCTGAATATACGCTAAAAGTAAAGCAAAGCAGAAAAATAACATACATCACGATAGGTGGTTGTGCTGCTAGCACGTTCACCATGGTAACGAGAATCAACGGAAATTGCTATATATCCTCGCGAAGCATAAGACTGACACACGAAAAATAAAAAATAGAAATCAAGGACAGAAAGAAAACCCAAGAATATAATCAATTAAATCATATAGAAGTGCAATACATAATAACAGAGGAGTGAAGCAGAGAAGATGCAATAGTAACCTCAAGTAAAGGACGCAAGTATTCTTTAAATTTGTTTGTGCTGTGAAGGAAAACAACTGCAGGCCTTCTCTTCTTATCGCTTTCCTTCAAACTCAAAATCAACAAAGGTAACCGTCCTTGCTCTCCTTCCTAATACACCGATTCCAGGATCGTTTCCACGAAATCAAATCCGAGTAATAAAAAAAAACGATCGATCCAAAATTCGATACCAGAGAAACCGAATTAATCAGTTACCTCCATAGTCAAGTACAGGTTCTCCTCCTTGAGCAAATCTTCAAGGTTTTCTATGTCTGCCTTTGGACAAGACTTCATAATCTCCAACTGTGATGCGATTGAACAAGCAATTGAAGTGGAAATTTTGAATTTAAAAAAATAATAAAAGAAAAGAATAAAAAGATGCAATAAATGGTGAAACCTCTTCGACAGATGGAGGAGAGTTCTGATGTAAAGGATTGGCCACTGGCTTCGCGAGTTCGACGGTTAGCGGAACTGAAACAGATATAACAAAACGAGATCGTGAAATTTATTCAACTTTGATTGTGAAGTGTGGTTGTTATGTTATACCTTGAGCTGGTCGCCTGCTACGGAGGACTTGCAGGAACTCTGATCGGAACTTGCTCTGAGCTTCGATGGCTTCTTTTTCTGCCATTTTGGTTTGGATTTTGCAGTGTGTGGCTGAGCTGTGCGTGTGAGTGTGAACTTGAGCGATGGCTCTGCTTCCCCATGTTCCATGCATTTCGCATTTGTATTTCAACAACTTCGTCAAGTTGGTACCCACTTGGATGCTCAAGGCACGTGCGACTTTCATCATTCACTGGCTCTCTTGCATTGCATCCCAGCTGCAACTTCCTCATTGTCTTTTTGCTAAACTTTTCTTTTTTAAAATAAGGGGAAAATGTGTATTTTTTTTTTGTAACAAAAATTGTGTATTATTTCAAAAGATGTAAATTTGTGTTATTTCAACTTTTTTTGGTAACAAAAATTGTGTATTATTTCAAAAGATGTAAAGTTGTGTTATTTCAACTGAGAGAAAAAAATAGATCATGGAGGAGAAAAATAGAGAATGGACAAAAAAAAAAAAAAAATATTTTGTAGAGTGAAATTATACAAATTATATCATCCAAAAGGACAAACAATTTTATCTTAAAATAAATAAGTGGACGTTATAAAATAAGGATAACTTTTTTTTTGGTAAAAAAAATAAGGATAATTTAATGTACTGGTTTTGTGTATTTAATATATGGATTTCTCTTTTATCGTGTTACAAGAGATAATATCCCTCATGTTATAGACACAACAAGTGATAAAAAACAAAAAATAAAAAGAAGATAGCACGGATTTCAATGTCTCACAACATGAAAAAATAATCTCCAACATGTTGTGACCCTTCGATTTGCGTGCAAAGTTTTTCTTTTCTTTTTTTAATAAATGTGGGACCCACCACTAGTTGAGTCACAACATGAGAATTCAATTCTCATACAACATGAGAAAATCAAACCTCATATATATATATATATATATATGGAAAACTATTCTCATGCTACATGAGATAAGTTTTTACTCCTATACATCATTTCATTTTTTTTTCTTTTTATTTTTTCGGGTGGTGGAACTCACAAATTTGCCTCTATGACATGAAAAGTTTATCTTATCTCCTTTAAGGAAATTTTTATCATGATGGTGGTCCTCCCATCGAGGGAGTGACACATGTAATTTTTTTTTTCTCCCTCCTCTCTCCTTAATCTCTCTTTCACTCTATCTCCTCCGTCCCACCCAATATTTTGTGGTGCGGGAGTGCCAAAATAAGTCTCATTCTTTAACATGAGATTAATAATATATATATATATATAGGCTTATAGTTTCTGAAGCTGCTTGAGATAATTTTATCTCCGGTTACTAAATCATAACCGTACAAAGATGGATCAATGGTGATAAAGGAAGAGAGAGAAAAAGTGAATCATAACTATTCAAAGGTGAATCAATTAATATAAGAAAATAAATAAACAAAACGACGTAGTTTTGGGGTGGCCGAAAATAAACTTATTTCAAGTTGCCGGATAAATATTTTTTCCTATATATATATATATATATATATATATATATATATATGGTTTATTATTTTTATGCAACAGAAGATAACTTGTCTTATGTCGGTGGGACAAATGATGTGGGATCCTTTTTTTGAGAAAAGATAAAGTGGTCTTGGACCACATGGTCCTTGCTCAAATGTGGAAAAAAAATTTCCACTCTATTCCTTTGTTTTCCTTGTAGTTTCATCCAAGGAAGCACGGACACTTGTAAAAACAGGAAGAGTCGGGTCCGACACGCTCCGACACGACGACACGCTCCGACACGGTGTCGGACACGCGGTTGACTTTTTCCGACACGTTGACCATTCCGACACGCGAATTTGACCGTGTCCGACACAGTCAAATGGCATTTTCGTAAAAAAAATTTTAATTTTTTTTAAAAATTTAGTTTTTTTAAAAGTTAAAATATATTAATAAAGCTTCCACCTGATCATATCAATTTTATCTTTTTGTCTTTTTTCCCCTTAAGTAGATAAGAGATCATCTCAGCATCATTGTTGTCAATTCTTATCACGCTCTTGTTGTATCTTCTTCTCTCTGATCTCTCTCTAATATGATTTGATCTCTCTATCTGATATTATATCTCTCTCTCATCCCAGTTCTTATTTTTTTTATTAAAGCTTCCATCTTTATAACGTGTTGATAGGTATTATTAATTTAGTTTCATTTTTTTGTTAAATTTTTAAATATTAAATGAAATATACACTATATAAATTAAAAATATTATTTAATATTAAAACGTGTCCCAACGTGTCGAAATCCATAGGTTTCATCCATGTTCCTACAAATTTTTCACAATTAGTAAAAGGAGCACCCAAAGGAGGTGGTCATGGTCCACCAAAAATCCTCTCCCCTTTTTTAATAAAAAATAAGAAAAGAAAAAAATTTAAATGACCCACCATTTTGTTAGTACATGAGAGAGACTTATTTTATGAAACTGGAGGAAATATTTTTCCTATACGTATTTTAATTTTTTGGTCTCTTGCCTAGTCCCTCAGCTAAATGATTTCATATAACACTATATTCATATAAATTGAGTAAAGAAATGTTTGATGTAACGAGCAAGTTGATAACATACAGATTTAAAGTTTAAATTGATAACATTATCTTTGTTGGTAAATAATTTTTTTTTGGGAAACCCCCCAGAAAGCATGTAGACATATCAATTTTAAATCCATCAATGCAAAGTAAACAATCGATTAAGCAACTAGTTTCTCTAAACATGCCTGTCTTCAATTTGTCAATGTCGTTTATCGGATACATGAGACGATGGAGGGAAAATGAAAGAGGACGGTTAAAATGTAAAAGTATTACGTTGCAAGGAAGCTTCAGTTCTTGACTTTGTCAGTGGAGTTATCAAATACAAATCTCGTGAGTTCTTTGACACTTGCCCTTCACATTGTTTAACAAGATGATAGATAACAAACAAAATTGGGGTGTTGCTTGCATTCTGGAACAACCGGAATCCTAAGGAAAGTGTGTAGAAACGTTCACAAGAAGGCGACAACATGGACAGCGTAGCTAGTGAAAACGCATATGCAAACGGGCTAATGCTTTAATATTTTATTGTATTAAAAATAACCGTGGCTTACACTTCTGGATATCACTTCGGAGTATAACTATTATTTTTATTTATATTTACTGTCACGGAGGCAAGGTGGTGGACGGCGGGTATCAGGGGATGAAACTCGTTCCATTGTCTAATGAGGCATGAGGTAACACGGTGAGTGAATTAATGGTCTCGTCCACAATATATCTTTGTATCTTAAATCAAAGTTTGAACTGAGTAAATATTTGGAGACAGGTGTTGAAAATTGACAATTACACACTCAAAAGAGAAAAAGAAAGGGACGACAAAAATGACATGGTGAATTATCCTGATTCACCCAATATAAAAAGCCTGAAAAGAGAAAGGGAAGAGAAAAATGACAATGATTTATCCTGATTCACCCAATATAAGCTACGTGAATACATCCAGCTTATTTGTACTATATTCACCTCTCTAACACTAACACTCATTACAAGTCACTTAGTTTACAAGAGAATATAAATAGGATTTAAAAAATTCTAACAGCAGCTATTGCTAAGCATAAAGTACTAAAAAAAAGATAAATATAATGACTCAATAATGAGTCAATAGTAAGTCAGAGGCTCACAACACCACAGTTGTTATATGCTGATCCCTACTAAAAAAAGGATAAATATAATGACTTAATAATGAGTCAGAGGCCCACAACATCTCAATTGGCTATCTGCTGACCCCAACAACAAGGATCTACATCTAAATGCGAAATATTAACCATATCCCACAACCGAAAAATCTCCGTTGGTTCTGCCAATGAAGCTGTAATGATCACATCCAAATTTCGAATCTATGGCTTCATTGGGCAGATAAGAGCCAATTAGAAATTGCTGGAAGATGGCTACTATTACTCGTATTCCTACGCACATTTTTCTGCTTTCTTTTGAAGCAAAATCGTGGGAAACCAAAATTGAAATGAGGACTATTTTGATGGCAAGAAGTAGATAACAAAACTTCTCAACTGCATATTACGTCATGATTCATGAATAAAACCCATATTTGGTTAATTCCTACAATGTACAGCTTTTATCAATGTAATCACCAGAGATTAATTTCATCAATTTGATCCATCAAACTTCAAATTCCAAACAATCTCTCCTACAACAATTTGACTCTTCATATGTAATAAGGTGAAATGGATGAGAAATGACATTGTTGAAGAGTTAGGATTAAAGATAAAATTAATCACTACCGGTCTAAATTGATAAATGATATATTTTTCCGTGGTCAAAAATGAATTTTGTTCGTAATTACATCGTAGCATTCGAAAGAACTCTCAGCTCTCTGGCGTGAATTAACTTATGTCATAAAACCTATAAACATATCCTTACATTTATATATAGTAAATATCAAAATTGACCGATGTCCAGGACAAAGACTTAATTTTGTTGAGATATCAATGCTGGGAAAGAAGAGGTTCCAATTATACCTAGTTATTCTGGATTAAGCTCTAATTTAACATCAGGGAACGAAACCTATATCTAACTATGCACATGAGCGGCAGATAGTCCTGGTCCTGGCTGCACACTGACACCGGGAACCTTTCAGTCAGGTCACAAGTCTTTCACGATACATCAGATTTTGTCACCCCAGTTATTCCAATTTGCATGCTACCCTCAATGAAAGATCATTATTACCATGTCCATTAGTTACTGCATAATGTGTCTGAGATATTTCTATAGCCGCTGAGATGGGGCAATTTGCAATGCAGTTGCTGCGGATTCCCTTCTCACTCCCCGTGTCAGTTTAACCACCACTATTACCATTTTCTGCAGGTTCTTTCAGGCTTCCCACCTCTTTCTTGGCTAGTGAAGAGCACATTGTTTCTACGAAGTTAAAGATAACTAATGTTAGTTAATTAAAATAATGAAATTCTTAATAAAACTTCAGAGCTTCAAGGAATGAAAGGATCAGATAATCCAGATTATTATTCTTTCAGTTGCTTAAGTAACAAAAATTAAACAAACTCCCAATGCTCCATTTGAGTTATTCAAATTATTTCAAGATATTCAGGCATCCAATCAAACATATAGCTAAAGATGAACAGAGAACAGAGAATTTCAGGGAGTCAACCCCCCACCCCCCAAGAAAGAAAGCAGAAGTGCA